ATCTTTCTGTTCTGATATTTACCATTTATTTTCTTATAGTGATTTTAGCATTAAGGTTGATTTTGTTTCTCTAAGACATGAGTTGCATCATCAGGCAATTTATTTGAAACCTACTTGTATTTTAGGCATGCAATGACAACGATACAAACATTCCTCTTAATATCACTCTTGATGTACCTCAAAGTCTTTGGTATTTTGTGTTACAGTATATCTATTTAATTTAATGAATTTTAAATTTCTCCTCTGATTTCTACAGGGACACATTGCTTGCTGAATACTGTGTTGTCCAATTTCCAAATGTTTGTGCATGTTCTGCTACTTGTTGATTTCTAGTTTTATTATATTGTGGTCTGAGAAGATGCAAGAATTTTTTCAACCCTTTTAATTCACTAACTTTGCTTTTGAATTTATGATGCAGTCTATTTTGGGAAATGTTCCGTGTACTGAAGAAAAGAGAAAGTATTCTACAGCTGTTGGATAGGATATTCTCTAGATGTCTCTAAAGTTCTTTGTTCCCGCAGTATAATTTAACTGTATTTTGTTGTTGATGATGATTTTGTCTGATCTATTCACTGGAGATTTTTTGAACTTACCCACCATTTTTTTTTTATTTCGATGTAAATCGCTTTTTAATGTCTAGTGGCATCCAATTTATGAAATTTATTTCTATCATCTCTGATAGGCATAACCTTGTAATTTTTGAGTTCTTGATATATTGTGACTTTAGTCAATATATTGTGACTTTCTTTGTCTCTACTAATTTTGTCTTAAAGTAAACTTTTTTGAAATGAATTTAGCTACTCTTGTTTGCTTTTAGATTCCTTTTGCTTGAGATAATCTTTTGCAATTCTTTCACTTTCACTTTTTTCATCCTTGTAGCTGAACTAAGTTTCTTACTGCAAGATGGTACTGGAGCTTTTTTTTTTTTTTTTTTTTTTTTTCATTTTTCATTAATCAAAATACCATTCTGTGTTTTTAAACTGGGTAGTTAAAACTATTCATGTCCAGAGTTACTATTGGGAGGTGTTATTGGAATTTATTATTGGAATCATTGTATTGGTTATCTTTGGCTTGTTTTTTCTATGCTCATTTTCCTTTCTTATTTATTAAAATGTTTGATGTTTGCAATGATGTTTGATTCCTACTTGTCATTTAAATACCTTTTATCCAATGGGTTCTATCTTCAAATTTGTTTCATTTTGTTTGTATTTCTTTTTTATTCTGGGCATAGAATTTTCTCAAATGACTTATATAATACTTTTTTAGTAGTCGTAAGTTTCTTTAATTTATGCTTATTTTCAGAAGTGTTCATTGTTCCTTTAATTATTAAGAATAAGCTTGCTGGGCATAGTATTTTTAATTGGTAAATATTTACTCTTAAGATTCTATGTCATTCCAGTCACCAGAATTTCTGACAACAAATCTGCTGTGAGTCAGATTGGTTTACATTTACATGCTAGTTGATGCATCTCTCTTGCAGCTTGTAAAGTGTTTTCTTTTCTCTGTATTTTTGGAAATTTAGCACAGTACCTCTTGAAGAGGCTCTTGAAGAGTCATGTCATTTTTATTTCTAAATGTATGTTGTATATGCATGATAGTATACCTCCAAATATTTAAGATATTTTGCTATGATTTCACTGACTACATTTTCTATGAACTTAGCATGTAGCTCTTTTCCCTCTGACATGCTGATTATATGTCTCATTGACATTTTAAAGATGTATCAGAGATCTGGAACATTCACTTCGGTCTTTTTTATTATTTTTGTTATTGCTATCTGAGTGTAATATTTTGCTACAATTGTCTTCAAGTCCCAGTATTCCTTTATGTGCTTGACAGAGAAACTGTCACCAGGGTTTTTAACTGAGGTTTTTATCTAACTTACTGAGTTTTATATTTTCAAGGTCTATATTTGGCTTTTTTTCTGAATTTTTATTAAATTTATCATTCATATTCTGTATTTTGCTCTTTAATTTCCTCAATACTTACTTGAATTCTCTTAAATTTCATTGCACTGTTAAAAATAATTGTTGAATTCTTTATTTGGTACTGCATTTTAATATCTTTGGAATCTGTTACTAGGCAGGTAGCTTTAGGTGATCACATATTATCTTGCTTTACATTTATCTGCAGTTGATATGTTGATATTTTCATATCTAATATCTGGTTGCTTCACTTTCATATGTCTTTACCATGTGTTTAATTTTGGTCAGTGTGATTTGGGATATTGATTTGTTGTATAATGAATTTATTTCCTACTGGAAGCTAGCGTAATCTCTTATAGCTTCTTTGGTTGTGATTCATGAGGTGAGTATAGAGCTAATGGGGGTTGAGAGATCCTCTATCCTGCAAGAGTTAGAAAAGTGAAGACATTCTAGTATATCTGGCCAGTGTGGTGCAGGTATCAATGTATTTAAGATGTATTCTCAGTAGCTATTTCTATTATGCAAATATTTCTCAAATGCAAATCTCCCTCCTAGTAAAAATTAAGGCTCTCTACTGCTCTGCAGGGTACATTTCTATGATTTGAAAGATCTGTGCATGGCTGCTCCAGTCATGCTCAGGGGACAACAGCTCTCCTTCTCTGGTTAGTGCTAAAACTGGAGAGGGGAGGCCTGAAATAACATGGTAACTTCTGCATCATTCACCTTCACATGTATCAGCTCTGTGCAGTCCACCCAGATGAAACTTCAACCAAGGAAGATGACCTGCAAAGACATGCTACCATTCATTGTTATGCTTTTCTACTTGGTTTGTTTTGTGGAAATATCTACTCAGGACCCATATTTCAGCTTCCCTGTACATATTTGCAGATGGCTGAAAATCCAGGACTTATGTTCTTTCTTTTAATTAAGTAGAAGTGCCTGCCAGGATTTGAATGTGGTGAAGTCGAGATTAGAATTGTGCTTAAGTCTTTCCTGCTATGCTTGGAGGGTATCTCAGCGACAGAGTATCCACAAAATGTGGATGAAGTTCGGCACTAGAAGAAAAAAAAAAAAATTGAGAGTGAAATAGTTTCTACAATTACTAATGGCTAAGTTTTAAAGAAAAAATGATAAAATTTGAAAATAATATATGAAAAGGAAATATGAGAGGAAGGAATAAAAGCAGAATAGTGGGAAGATTAAAAAATACAATAAAATAATAATATAGAGTTCAGAAAAAAGAACTCAAGTTTTCTGCTAGCAGAGGTGGCCAGAGACAGTTTTCTCTGAGTCTTCATGCCGTGAAGTTAAGGATCACTGAGCTAAACATATCTTCTACTCTCCTCATCACAGCACCTGCAGCTTACAATACAAACTCCTGAAGTTTTGCATCAGACACTCCCCCAAGCCTTGTAGCTAGAAATCAACACTGCAGAGTAGCCCCAGAAACCCTGATACATGTGGTTATTCTAGGCTTTCTGACACTGAAAACAGTTTTGGCTCTTAATCAGAACACTTCTCAAGATGGTTCCTGACCATGTTCCTTAGAGTGTGCTGAGAGAAGCAATGAATGATGTCTCTAGATTGAGTTCCTGCACAGACTCCAGATCCCTCCACATTTATGTTGTAGGTCTGAAGTTCACAGCCTACAGCCTTCAGTACTATACTGTGACTCTTTCTCTTCTACCATACTGTAGAATCTTTTTGATCCAACCAACGTGCTCAGCACCACACTCTGCACTATTCTGCTTCGTTCCTTGTCTCTAATATTCACCATTGTGTTTTCTGCTCTGTCATCCTCCAGGATGACAGGCAGTTAAATTCTCCAGCAGTTACACACATGTCGCTTGGTTTCCATTGTCTGAAGGGACAAACCTATGCTGTGCATCTCTACACTCTAATCATCAACCTGCCTCTCTCCCTGCAATTTACTTTTTAAAGGATGAAGCACATAGCAGAATAACTAATGAACCCCATGATTAAACCACACAACTAGAAATATGTTACAAGTGAAGATGCGATTTTTGTTCTCAAATTTTTAAAGTTTTGTAAGAGTGGGATCCCCAACATTCATCATTAGTAAACAGTACCAAAGGAGACACAAATATTATATTTGTGATGAATCAAAGGTATGACTGATTAGAACTTGGAGTGGTGAGAAGTGCATAAAAATGAAACATTTCTGTTTGTTATTGAAAATTTTATAGAACTTGGGAAAGTAGTATGATGACAGAAGGTTACTTCAGATAAGGAACCATTGAGAATGAAGACAATAAATATGAATGTAACATTTTGAAGAAATTTTAAAGACAGCTCCACCCAGTATGGCATGTACCTTTGTAGCAGCTCTTAACAGTTACTAAAGTATCACATATTTCCTTTATACAAGCTTTATCTTAATCACATGTAATACTATTATTGTTAGATATAACACTAGATCCAAATGTTGAATTCTGGAGATGATAACATATTCACTGATGCCAATAGAATATTGGAAAATGTAGAAGAAACTATTAGGTATTTATGAATTTCATTCATTTTCCTTTTCTTCCTGAGTAAAATTTGTCTTGTGTTAAAGTTTGATATGCAGGCATATAGGGTCACTATGCAGTTTCTCAAATTATTTTGTGGTTAAATTTATCTAAGTGACAAAGTTATTCTAAAAGAGACACAAATAGAACTATCTCTAGTCAAGGGACATGTCAGTCTTCATCCTTATATTTTTGGCTGCTTTCCAAGTGTTAGAGATGAAGAAAGAATCTGGAGTCCTTTCTTGAGAATAAACATTGAAGATACATGTAGTGCACTAGATCAACAATTTTAAAAATATATGTACATTTCATTGTGTGTGTGTTTATTTATACTCATGGTTTGCACTGCCAAAACAAATTCTAATGAATACAGAAGATAAAAATGTCCAGCCTCTGTTATCCTCATGGTATCTGATAATGAGGAACTCTGTTTGGTTGCAAATTAATGCTTAGTCATGTCAGAGAAATAAAAGACAAATCCATGTGAAAACACTATTTTAGTTTATCACAGTGCATAGTGATAAAATATATTTGATCTTTGTATTCAATTACAGAAACTTTTAATGATATGTGACCTTGTCTAATGGTGATATATAACCTATATATTTGTCCTTTGTAGACTAGCATAATAGCTATGTTCTTTAAATTATTTTATCTTTACTTTTCTGCTAGAGACCCTTATGTTCTTTTTAATCTATCTGACATCTACACTAGTAATTTAATATATATTTCAGCAGTTCTCAAGATACAAGAGATGTTTCATATATTTTACCCTTCTAAGTATTTTAAGCAAGTTTAGTGATACATAAATATTTGAAAAAGATCACTTATACTCATTTCAGTCATCAAGCAACATGAACATTTTCAATATTTAATAAATTTTTAATGTTTAATGCTTAGAGCGAAAAACTAAAATTTGCATACGCAAAAACCTTGTGAAACGTATCTAAGCAATGTTAGTTCAGTATTCACATGACCTGTATTATGTGTTTTCTGCATTATAAGTTTCATGAATGTCTTACATTTTTACCCATGTATGGATAAACACATATAGATTTTTGTAGAATAAAGAAACAGGCAATGAAAATATAAACTCATTAATTAATATATAAGAACCCAAGAATTCTAGATTTCAATGAACCAAAAGCTTGCTCTCTCTGTCTTTAAATATATATTCTAGATTTATAGGGTAAGACAATGACAACATATTTGATAAAAATGTAGACCTAAGCAAAAACTGTTACATGTTTGTCTGATGAGACAGATTATTTTAAAATGGAACTCCATTTGAAAGTCTCATGTTGGCTTAAAGAGGAATAAAGGTGCTGAGGATGTGGCTTAGTGGTAGAGCACTTGCCTTAATGGCAGAGTGAGACTCTGGGTTATATCTGCAGTACCACAAAAATGATGAGAAAGAGGGGAGTCAGGAGGAGAAAAGGGAAGAAGGAGAAGGAGAAGAAGAGGAAAAGGAAATGGGAGAGAAAGAAGAAGAAGAGAAATGAAGAGGAAAAAGGATAGAAGATTAAAAAGTGGATAAAGAATAAGAAAGGGGAGAAAGTAGAGGAGAAGAAAAGGCGAGGGAGAGGAGGGGAAGAAGAAGCTCGGTGGGGAGGTACAAGCCTGCATTCTCATCTAACTGGTAGTGGAAAAGAGGAGAATTCAAGTTCAAGGCAAGCATGGGCACTTACCAAGATCCTGCATTAAAATAAAATCAGTCAATAAACAGGGCTGGGGAAGTAGCAGGGTAGGGGAGCATTTGCCTAGCAGGGGCGACATGCTCATTTGATCCCCAGTGCTATAAAAAGCCAAAAGAAAAACAGCAAAAGAAGAGTAGAAGGAAAATAAGGAGAGGAGCAAGGAGGAGGAAATAAGGAAAAGAGTGAGGAGTGTAAGAATGAAGGAAAAAGGAAGCAAAGGAGGAAACGGGAGAAGTCAGAGAAAAAGGAGGGAAGGAAGGAGGGAGAGAAAGAGAGAGGTAAGAAGAGAGGGAGACAGGAAAACCGATGTACTTTGCTGTACATCAGATCACAACACACAACACAGCGGAGAAAGGTGGTACCCTGGTCTTTGGAGATACTCTCCAGGGTGCTCTTAATTCATCTCTCTGCAATGCTATGACTTATATCAGAAAGTAGACAAACATGATAGGATACATCATGTAGAAGTGGCTTTAACACAACACAGAAATATTTGACATCCAAGAGTCTGAGAAGCTGTTCTAGGCAGGGATGAGAAGCATCTTTGATTCTGCTCTGCAGAAAGGGAAGGCATAGAAGCTGAGGAACACACAGATGCCACAGAGACACTGAGTCTGAATGATGGGAACAACAGCCTCTCGGGAGGAGCTGTTATTTTCAAGAGAGAGTAAAATACATTTATGAATGGGAAGTTCTCTTTACCCCTTCAGAAAAGATATCTATTTTTTTTCTAAAATAGTGAATTTTGTAGTAATAATGTTTCTTTTCATTAGTCAGCAAACTTTTTGCCAGTTTTAATTTTAACATGTAATAAATAATGGCAATATAAAGATGTCACTTTTACATTTGAAATACTATAATGTGGATAGGGAAAAGGCATGATATATGTGGAACAAGGAAAATAGTTAGACAACTATCAGGAAATAGAGGAGGTAGCAAAATCCCAAAACAGTGGAAAAAACTAGTTACAAAATATGTGTCAAAATATGCTTAATATACTCATGTGTTTACTATTGTGAATATCATCAACCCTATTAGTAATTCTTGGTGATTAGGAGCCACCTTAACACACCTGTAGGACTCCGTGTTCCTTCTTATAGTTGTGCACACTTGGTAAGACGCAGGGGTCATCTTTGATGTATTCCAAATGGGTACATTTATGTTAGAAATCATAATTCCTTATATATTTGCCAAGTCATTTAATTTGACATTTTAGGTGTGTAAGAGAACATGACCACATGCTACCATGCATATAACAAGAATTCAGATAAACAAGTTTGACTTTAAAAAGACCCGTGTTCCCAACATAAAAAGTGTCAACAACTGTTATGAAGAATTTTTTAAATGTCTAGAGGTGATACAGGTCACATATTTCTAATCTTGTGAATCCAACCCCAACTTTGACATCTTTCTTCTAAATAACCACACAACACTGATAATTTTATCATGTATGCCACAGATGGATAACCTTAGACTATTTCTGTTTAAAATTACAGAAATTATAAATTTTTGCTAAAGCAATAATTTATTTCACAAGAAAGTTTTTCTCAAGGATCTTAATTAGGGCAATTTTTACATCCTTATTCCTCAGGCTGTAGATCAGAGGGTTCAGCATGGGGACAAAAATGGTGTAAAACACAGAGGACACTTTCCCTTGGTCCATGGAGCTGACTGATGAGGGCTGTAGGTACATGAATGCTAGAGAAACAAAGAAGACAGCAACAGCTGAGAGGTGGGAGCTGCAAGTGCTGAAGGCTTTGGATCTGCCTGAGGTGGACCGAATGCGGAGGATGCTGGCTATGATGAGGATGTAGGAGGTAAAGATGGCCAGGGTAGGTATGAAGACGTTAAACACACTGAAACTCATACCTACTACTTCATTGATGAAAGTATTCGAGCAGGAGAGCTCCAGTAGTGGGAAAAGGTCACAGAAGTAATGATTTATTAAGTTTGCCTTACAGAAAAGCACCCTCAGCAAGCAGACTGTGTGAGCTGTGGCACCAACGAAACCCACACCGTACACCCCAGCTACCATCCAGCTGCAGACTTGAGGAGACATGATGACATGGTAAAGCAAGGGGTTACAGATGGCAACATAGCGGTCATACGCCATTGCAGCCAACATGTGACACTCTGAAATTGTAAATACACAGAATAAGTAGAACTGAGTCATACATTCAGGGAAGGAGATGATATTCTTCTCTGTCACAAAGTTCATCAACATTTTGGGGGTGATGACAGTGGAATTGCAGAGGTCAATAAAGGACAGACTGCTGAGGAGATAGTACATTGGGGTATGCAGGGGAGAACTGAGCCAGATCAGTGTGATCATGCCCAGGTTCCCTACCACTGTGACCACATAAATTCCTAGAAAGAAGAGGAAGAGAAGCAGCTGGAGCTCTGGTTTCTCTGTTAACCCAGCAAGGATAAACTCAGTCACTGTGGAATGATTTAAATCTCCCATTTTTCTTCAGGAATTCTTGATGCAGGCATTTACTAGCCCATGAAACAATCAACTATGCAACTCTGATCTTTTCAACCAGGTATTTCCAGATCTGTTCCAGCTTCTCTTTGTGTTGACTGCCAATGACCCTGGAATCCCAGGCATATGGGACATGTCAGTAAGCACCAGATAGAGTCCAGTCCTAGCTGTGCCTCATGCTGTCTGCATGGTTATTAGTTGTATTCTAGACCACGAACACCCAAAGAGCTTTTGGGACAACTTTGATGGAATGACCTAGGAGCCTTCTCTGCCTTATGTGTAATCCTCTTTGTTCTGCAGAGAAAATACGACTCATTGTTAAAGTGAGTTAACAGTGGAGTAACATTCAAAATAAAACACACAGTAATACAATGTTAACTGCTACAGATAACTCAGATAAAAACAGTCATGCACCATTTGTGCATCTGAAACTGGCTCATCTCACATAGTACACTGCCCTCTGGATCCACCCATTACTTCATATCTTTAGGTTTCCTTCTGGGAAGATAAACAGTTTTGAAAGTAAGCAGTGATGACTCGAAACAACTGTGAAATTGTTATACTAAGTCCAGAATTTTTGTTTCCATTAGACTTACGGAATAAAGGAATTTAACAATCCTTAGTTACACTAATTTTAGTGAAGGATTTGCTCATGGTCATGAAGTCCCTTGTGGATGTGACAGAGTTATAAGCTGTAGGTAAACGTAGTTAGGTGAACTCAGAATATCTGAAGACCAATCACTAACTGAGAAATATTGAATTATATTTCCGTAATAGTTTATATTTAGTTTTTGTATTGAGAAAAAGGCACACACTCAAAAATTTACATCGTGTCAAGGAAAAAGAAAGCATGACATTTACAGAAAACTGTAGTGAATGTGTATACAAAGATACTGATCTATGAAAGTAGTGCTTGTTTGTTCAAGTGGACTGATATTAAAATCCATTTAAAAGTTTAAGGCTAATGGTTTGCTATGGGTGTTGAGGAGGGAGAGATAAATATTACAGAATCTATGCTTTCCAAAGTAGTACAGTCTATAGGGGAAAGAGACACACACTGGACAGTGTGATGAATGCCTTGCTTGGGAGGTCACATAGGAACACAGCTGTTATGGTGCTAGTTTAGAAAGAAGATTATGAAGATTTTTCAGAAAAGCTTGAGTCTGGAAGAATAAGTAGGAACAAAGCAAGTTTTCACAATATTCAAATTATGAAGCAATGAAATCAGCTTTTCATGTTCAGAAAATATGGGTCCAAAAAAAAAAGCATCAAAACACACAAATAATTTCAAAGTACTCATTAAAAGAGTGTCCAAAATTATAGAAGTTCCAGCTGGACATAATTAACTACATCTGACCAGTTGTGCCAAATTTGGATACCTGGAGGAGAGTGGATTATAGGTCAGCATGGTGGATTATAAATTACAATTACCCAGGAAGATGCAGATTTAGATAAAACTAATTTACACCTACTTTCAACCTGACTAATAATACAAATGAAGACTGAATTTGCTATGTGCTTTCTATGAGAGTGAAGCTACAGTTGGTGAGGTGCATTCTGACGCATTAACACAACCCCTGGACCATTAAGTATTTCTGAAAGTCACACATGTTAAATTATGAAAAAGAATATTGTGTCAACAGCTATGTTATGGCAATGTGTAAGCAGTGCTTTTCAGGGAACTCTAGGACATCTTGCACTGGTATCGTGAAACATTGTCAGTGCCTTGAGGTTGCAAGACACAGTTCAGATACTCACTGTTTTTGTTGCTCAGAGACCTGAGATCGGGTCACATATGTGGTTTAGAATAACTTCTTTCTAAGGGAGAGAACTTTGGATGATGTCGCTGGTGTGAATTCCAGAGACTCCTGAGCACACTTTTTTTTAGTGGATCAAAAGGCAGATCCCAAGCTCTGAATAGCTGATATACATACTGTGAGTTAAGTACCACAGGGTCTCTCACAGTTCCTTAGTAATACTTCCCAAGGGGTTGGGGATAACATGATGCCACCTTTATGAAGAGTTTTCACATTGGAGTGATCCTAAAAATACAAAGACGCATGCTCCCTCAAGAGTTCCTCTCACCAGAGATTTTGTTTTTCCACCCTGTGTGTGACATTCTCATTAGCTCACTCATGTATAATTGTCTGCATGTTTTTGAGCTGTTAGCAGCCATTTGGCTGAGGGCTAGAAAGTGAAGACTTAGCAGACATGATTCTAGTACGCTTTCATGACAGTAATTTCTTATACAAAATTATTTCTGAAATATTTAAATCCAATTTTTATGCAAGCCTTGGAGAACTAATTGATTATTTGCAATTAGTGGAAATTGCTCTTTGGAGTTTTCAGGATGCCTTATGGCATAACCTCACTGAAAGGACTGAGCATGAAGGGTGTTGACCTAAAGAACTTTGTAAATGAGTACAGGCTGTGGGATTAAAGCAAATACAGACTGTACAACCGCTGCAAGAACAAAATCACAAAGCTCTTTATTCCAGGGGAGCATGAGGCACAGGACTGTAGTAGCCTGGTCCTTGTGAGCTAGCACCGTGGGTTTCTGGGTTCACCCAGAGATCACACAAAATGAACAGAAACGGTAAAAGTCTTGGCATGTTTATCCCACTTCTTACCTGAAGTGTAGAGGGTAAGTGACTGCTGGAGATTGGCACCCTTGCTCCCCGTGGTGACCGGTTTGCTGTAACTTCTCTCTTGTTTTTTCTTTATCTGTGAGAACCTGCACACTTGGACATATTTCAAGAGCACTTCTCGCGGACAAATGGAACTGTGTTTTTTCCTGGAGCTTCTCCTTCTTTGAGCTCAGATAAATTCTGTTCTCATGCTTAGTTTGTGCCCCTCCATTTGACTGTTAGAGTTTGTTTCAAATACCGGAGTGTTCTTCCTAAATAGCTACAGCTATTATGCTGCAGTTAAGAAAATAATACTCCTTATACAAACCTTCAATTATTCCAAAGTATGAGAATTTGAGCTTTTACATTACAGTTTTGCTTATTTTGTCATTTTATTTTGTCATTTTATTTTTGTTACTAAATGATTTTTGCAAAACCAAATATTTCATTTCACCACCGTTATGGTCCTCTCATAACAAAATACCACAGATGAGAAGGGATAAACATGAGAAATTTATTCTCTTACATCTCTGGATCTGGAAGCCTGTGAAGTGTGTGAGATCATCCTTGGTTTCTTTTCGGTGCTTCTCTACTTGACTTCCAGATGGCTAACTTTGTGCTGTGTAGTAGGTCTTTCCTCTGTGCATCTGTGTCCTGGCTGTCTATTAGCTCACATTTTCTCTTCTTGTTGAGCATCAGTTGTGCTGGATTAGTACCCACCCTAACACTGATGATGTAATCATCATCTTAAAGAACCCAGTAGCAGGCATTAAGAAATTAAGGACCTATACATGAGTTCACAGGAACCCTATTAAGCTGTAACAACCGCTGCTGATCAAACATGTGAAGGAAACTGAATCGCCCAGAGAGATTGATGCCTTTACTTGTGAAATAAAACATAGCATTTTTTATTACCCAGAATGAAAAATCACTGCTGACTATATAAGACTCTGACAGTCATTTGATATTTAGAATATCTATTGTATCCATAATAAATGCACATTCCTTGATGTATCTAGAAACAATCACATAACCAATGATCCAACACTTTATCCTCCCTTCAGGTACATGGCTTTGTTTTTGTAAGCCGTTATTTTGTTTGGGTCTCAGCAATGAAATACAGCTCAACTTCATCAACTTGTAGAGCTCTTTCTTTCTTAGAATCTGAAATATTTCTTTTACAGTAAATAAATGAATAAATGGTTATTTTACAATAAGTAAATAAATGAATAAATAAATCTATATTTTTAGAGAAGAAAAGCAAAACAGAAAACGGGTAGAAATAATGCAAAATTTCAAAATATAATAGTAATCATTTTACCAATGAATTTTAAGAATTATTTTAAAATACATACCCACAGCTCTTTTTTCTAAATTTTTCTGTATGGATGTCAGTGCTATATTATAATTAAGCTACCAATAGAGGAATTATAAATTTAAAGTCACATATTTGGATATACATTGAGGACTAAATATATTATATATATATATATATATATATATATATATATGAAGTTTTTTAATATATACATACATAAAAGAATCAGTAAAAAAGAATCTTAAAGGTAACATGTAACTCTAAGCTAATTAACACTATGCATGTGTTGCCATGAATTCTCCTGAGTGCATTGCAAAGACAAAGATATAAGCAACCATGATCCAGTTTGAACAGTCACAAGCTATGCCAAATGACTGACATCAGATCAACAACTGCGAAATAACATTGAATATTAGATGAATACTCTGGTGGAGAAAGTAATGGTCAACTTGTAACACACCTGAACTGAATCAGTGCAGTTCTGGGTATGAGGATTGCTGCCAACAGCATTAAAATAAAGCAGCTGGGGAAGATGGTGTGCTGTTGATTTTCCTGGAGAAGCCTGTCATGCTGGTTTTCCTGATATGAACTCAACTATTCCCATCTTTGAAGCAGCATATGTCCTGTCTGTATCTGAGGGTGACTGTGGTTCTATTGGGTATTTTTCTGGCCCTTTCCTAAGTTTTGCTCCCCGTCTCCAGTAAGGGTAGCTCAGCCTGGTGACGGATTCTTCATCCCACCAGTGGAAACTTTCCAACTTCCATCCTTAACCTTTGTGCCTTCCCAGTGCAGATCCTTGATATGGTCTTGTGTGAGATATTGTCATAGACTCTAGGTGTTCAGCTGGAAGCTTGGAGGAAATTGCTATAGGCCTTAGGTCTTCAGGTGGACTCCTGCAGGACATTGTCATGGGATCCAGAATGTCAGCTGCATTCTTTGGATCTTTAGTGCATGAATAGATCTCTCTCGCTCTTCCATATTGGACTCTTTAGGAGAATATCATAAAATAATCCTATAAATTATATGTCGTTCATTAA